AAAAGGTGACTTATTTTATCTGATCCAGAAAAGAGCTGTCAAAGTTCAGTTGTCATGTAATTAATTGTGCATTTATTGGCAATTTTTAAACTGTGAATGAAAGGCTTCATTGGAATTGCAAATCATTGTACACTTTCATCTGCATTTGAGACAGTTCTTTGAAGACCATATTCCCTGAATAGGGTGTTAATGAGAAGCTCCCCACTTTAATAAAATGTCATTTAAAAACCATATCCAATCAATATAGCTTTCTCTTAAGGAAACGCTTAAGTGGTCATCCACTTAAGATGGATTCCATAACTAGTATTGCAGTACAAAACAAAAACCAAGAACTTCAAGAAATTACTCATTCCAGAATAAGGCCTAGAACAGCCTAATTAAGACTCAAGGCCAATGGATTTACATGGAAGATACTTCACAGCATGGCTTACTATTGTTTGCAGTCAGCCTAGAGTTATGCTATTGATGGAGGGGAAAAAAAAGTTTTAGTCTTGTTTTGAAATCACTTTACTGTTTTGACCCTTTTCCAACTCCTTTCTCATCTTCCCACAATTCACAGGACATTCACCATTATTTCTGCAGGTAGGGTATAACCAATCTTACAGCTTCTAAGATGCTTCTGCTGGCTTTTTCTGTCAAGGTTTGCCTTTCCAAAACGTTTGCCAAGCTGCAATCCTTCAGCAAAAGCGAGGAGCTGGCATGAGAAGAGCATTTGTTTCCTTAAGTGTCAGCATGTGAAGACAGGTAAATGCTGAACTAGCAGAGAAATGCTTATTAGTGTTAGAACATATATATGAGATTATTTTCACTCTAAAGATACTATTTCACGGGACTTCATAGACACTACTGCTGACTTCACTCATTTATTTTCTCTTGGAAAAAATGAGCAACATTAACTAAAATAAGTGTAAGAAACCATTCTTATAAATACATCCATTTCAGTTATCCAGCAAATAAAGCTTCAAATAAAGCAAGCTTTTTTAGAGGTAAATGAACTTAATGTCAGAACATTTGGGCATTTATTTCACTTCGCTGAGATGACTTCATAGTACATGATTATGGTAACTCTTTAAAATAAATTACATGCAAAAAGGACAAAGACAACTGAATCCTGAAATATTTTAATTTAAAATGCAATATAAATAAAACTCCAAGTTGTATTTCAATGAATATACATTAGGACACTTAGGACTTGTACAGGTTCCAGGATTAAGTGTTTTATACTGCCTGTATTGTATCATTCTCTTTACTGCCAATTTTTATTATTTTTTATGAAGCTTACTACCACAGTGACTGCCAAGAACATTTCTGATACCTTACACATTCTGTTAAAACATCAAGAACCTTGTATTTTTAAATATGGAGATTTACTTTAAATGATAATATAGCACTTCTTAAAAATATATACTATGTAAATGAGGGTTTTCCCCATTCCACTCTTATGCACAATATACTTTTTATAAAAAAAAAAATTCCGTGTTTCAGTTTAATCCTTTTTTTAAGATCAAGATAAATATCTTAGTAGAAATAGGAGTTCTTTTGGCTTTCCAATACTCCTCAGGTAAGTTCTTCAGCATCTCTCCACTTATCTTTAACTGCTAAATATAAATCTCAGTAAAGCATGGAAGGATTTAGCATGACTTCTATATTTATGATACAGAAAATAAAATATACTATATTACAAATCTGTATCTCTCCATATTACAAAGCAGCAACCTAAACATCTACACAAAATCCTGGAAGTAAGATATGATAGAAAATATGCTCAGTCATTGCTAGGGATAAACTATTTAAAATGCTATATGGTTAAGTACTAACATCAGTCAAGAGATTTCAACACCAGGAAAGTCCGTCATATCTGCCTATAGTGCAATAAATAATACATTATTTGTAATTTTGATCTAGAAATATAAAGTGGACTACATTATCTCCAAAAATGCTGATCCATTAACATCCCAGGACACTCTATAATATGACCTCCATCTTTCTCTTTCCTCCTATTTATACATGYGGGCCTGTCTTTTCCATCCCTTCCCCTTCTCTTTCTTCTTTTTCTTTTTTTCTTGGTTCATTTTTAAGCACTTGAATGAGGCCTAGCAAATAGAGCACTGCCCCACACCTGCAGCAGCCAGTGCTACAGCAGCATTAATAGCAACATGCAACCTGAAGCTCGTTTCCAGGAGACATGGTCAGACATTCTCAACTGCACAGTTAGTCGAAAATATATCTCCCTAGAAATGAAGTTTAGATGAGGATTTACCTTCTTATGGGTTCTAAAAAGTGAACTATCTACATTTTTAAAAGTTTCTTCCAGTACTTTATGGTCTGCAAGCAGTCTTTTAACATCACCTTGAGTAAACTGGGCATCTCTAATCTTTCTAGATCTTAATTTGCATTCATACCATAAATTCATTCCTTTTGAAGCAATCGTCTCCATTTTATTAAGTTACAAAATTGAGAAAAAAGTAAAATTCAGCCACTGAAAGCTGCATACTAAGAGAACATTTGCCCCCTCTGCACATGGAACATTAACATTAGACTTTTTCTGCTTCAAATATTTTGTACATTATTTTTGTTGCCTAGTACAGAAAAATTAATTGCATGCTCCTCATAAAACTCCCAGAGAGAACTGGTTCTCTGTCACTCCTCCAAGAGGCAATTTTCCAATCTAATAATCCTGGGAAAGGCTGCTACAGAAAGACCAATAGAGAAAGGACAGAAGCTCTTCATGTAACAAAACAGTTATTGGGCCTGAAATTATTGCATAAGTAGGGAAAGAAAATAACCTATCACATAATATAACTTACAAACTAACATATAATATGTGATAAGGAACACACTTTATTCAAACTACTGATCAGGAAAAGAATATATTTTCCCTATCAGATATTGAGCCCTTATACTGCCTCCTACCTGAAAGGTATATTCAGCTTCACGATTTCTTAAAATTCTTCCTATTAGTTTAAAATAGTTACCAGAGGCTTTTTGCTTCCTTATTAATAGACATTCTGCTCAAGTTGTCATCCTGTATGTAATGCCAAAAGGAATTGCATTTTCCATTACGATATTTGAAAAAAACATTGTAGTGGATTCTTTAATGCTAATGGTCGATGTTATATTTAATTGTATATTYGGTCTTGACTTTTTCCAAAATATACAAGACATTAATATTTTTGGAGTAGTAGGTATAAAGTAGAACAGCTGCATTCTTGATTCTTTTAGGGAAACATAAATTTGTATATCGTATTAACTTTGCACAATGTCTTCCCTTACATGCACAAAAAATATGACAAATGGAAACATATTTGGTTTTTGGTTAAATTTAAGTTATATGCTCTGCTAGAAGTTAAGAAGAATTCTGACATGCAGTTCCTAAATAAAAAATAAAAAAAAAAAAGGAAAAAGGTCTAAATCTCAGCAAGAAGCAAATACTTCATTTTTCAGTAAGCAATGTCTGTACATGTAAAGAGAAAATATCTTGAAAATACCCTTAGCACTATCCATCTTGTCCCCTAACAAAGACTTATTTGTAAAAGATGCTGCCTGCACRAAAATGTAAGTCTTAACAGTCTTAAAAGACTGCTTGTCAATTTTAAGGTGGCTAAGTTTAACCACTCCATTAAAAATAAACAAAACAAATCATCCCTTCAAAAAGTCATCCATTACTAAGGCTGCATAATGAACAAGAGAGAGGAGAGAGAGAGAGAGAAAGGATAAGTACTAAACCTTATTCAAATGCTTTAAAAAGGAAACAAGAGTATGTACTGATAGCGTGTTTTGAAAGATATTTGAAAACTGTAATGAGTCATAGTGTAACCATTTGTATTAAAGCTTCAGTTTTTCAGAGTCTATTTCTTTTTTAATTATTAAATATATGACCTTACTCTTCCATCCATAAAAATATAATTTATTAAATTTGAATCTACAGAGGGAAAACAGGACTTAYGTGCATCCTTCATAAAYACATCTTCTATTCTTTCCAGCAAGGTACACTTTGGGTTTCACATCTCTACTGAAGTCACTCAAACATCTCTAAATGTCTTTATTCTCATGATTAGGACATAGAAGACGGGACTAGCTCACTCATCACTCAGTTCTTTCATTATAACATAACCACAGTCTCTTCTAGAGCATCATGGTGGAGAAGCAGTATGAAARGATAAACAGCTGAAACCCAACACAATACATGTAAGGACTTCAGTAGCCCTATCACCATCTAGCTTCATATTCAGGTGAACTAATAAGGAAAGCAGTAGCCCACAGACTTAAAATTTGGTCATTTGAGCTTAGATCAAAGCACAGTTCTATTAAAGAATAAGTATAAAATCCCTAAAGCATTCTCCAGTTGTGTATTCAGTTATTTCACAGAAAAACAGCAGAGTTTGGTTTTATTCTGCTGGAATGAACTTTGTTTTCATTTAAAAGGCATGAACCAATTACCTTAAAACAGTTTAAGGCACTCTACAGCATACTGATAGCCCTTGGAGGGACTAATAAGAATATATGTGCTTCATTAGTAGATGAAATGTATTTTCATTAGCACAAAAGGTATAATCAAGACAACAGTGATGCAGAAGTGATGCAAGTAATGCCTCTTTCCCCAGTCCTGCTATTCTGTTTTCTTTCCAAAAGCAGGGCGGGGGGAGAATGGAAAAAGTGATATAGAACACAGTGCCAGGCATTTASATCATTTAGACTATGATGCCAATTCACAAATATTACTGAAAGGTCTTATAATGGCATTGCACATTGCCTTATCTCACAGTCAGTGGAGAAGTGTTCACATTGCCTCCAAACCACAGAAGGAAGTCACRCACTGACAGATATCTGCTTTGATAAAACAGACAACCCCACCCACTCTGCAACTAGTATGTTTGTGTGACAATATGCTGTATCTGGTCGTGAGAAAAATTCTCTTCTAGCTGACAGCACAGATTTTTGCATTATAAGCTCATACACTCTTCATCATACTCTAAATATCATTTATTTAAATACTTGTCTGTAAAAAAGGTACACAGGTGAAGATCAGAATTATGCAATTTTTTTTTTTTAAGTATGACATATCAAGTTTAAAGGCAATATCCAATAAAACCAATTGGTTTCACTAAACAACAGCTTGCATGCTCGCTCACAGGGAGAGGGGAGCAGATGCAGGTCTGATCAGGACGGAAAAGAGCAATAGTCCACAGCTCAGGTGAGGATGATTGTTTCACCCGTAATCAACTCCTACAGATTCTAAACAAAGTTGAGCATAATACAGTAAGCCTGACAAACACAAGCTCTGGTAAAATGCAAGTGAAGACTAGCCCACTAGGATTAATATACAGATTTTAATAGCACAGCAAGTCAAGATCAAAATTGCAGAGCTAACTGAAGTTGCTTTACCTGAAATAATAACATCCTCATAAAACAATGCACATACAGACTGCCACCAAGCAAACAGACTTTGTTGCCTTCAGAAATGTCAGTACTTGAAATAGCATTTACTTGTTGAGGTTTTAGAGGCACTGTGCCCCATAAATCTGAGGGTCTGAATACCAGACTGATAAAATCCACCCTAAAACAAGTACTCCAAAATATATAAAATTAACATTCATCTTCTGCTTCTAATGGGATGACAGTGAGACTATCTAGATATTCAAGGAGATAAACAGCAGAATTTAGTTCTCTCTTGCCTTGCCGCAGTACTAGACTGCCACTTTACTGGGCCTGCAGTGATGGACTAAAAGACAATCTGCCCTTGTACCTTGTAGTGCCCTTGATTTCACAGCTCAGGAGGACAAATATGTACCTATATGTATATATATACACAYATAAACAGACACACACATCCCATTTATATATTCTGAGGAAATACTTCCTGATGAATATCAAACGTCTTCTATAATCAGAGATGTAAGAGTCCTTTCAAGCAAAGTAAGGCTGCAGTGTAAATGTAAAGTTGACCATCGGCTTGTAGTCTCATTCACTGGAATTGATATCCATCCAGAAAATTATAGAAAATATCTGCTTAAGAAAATGCTTAAGGTTATTTAGGTTATTTAAAACAGAAGTAGTAACTTCTTGCAGACAACCATTGGACTAAGATTTTGTTATATCAGCATTTTTAATAGTTGCTGAGAGTTGCATTATGTTGCTGCTGCGTTAGAAAGTGCAGAGCTTACCTCACTTTTTAAAAATAAATTTTATTCATATTTTCATATAATCATGTTTGGGTGAGGAAGAGGATAACAGTTAAGGACCTCTGAAGGTCTGCTCATCCACACTTCTCGTCATTGTGGGGCCAGCTTCAAGGTCTGAAGGATTCATAAGCATCCCCTATCTGCCTTCCTTCCCATTGACAAACTACAGTCATCTCTGATTGGAGAAGAGAGACTTACTGTACCTGGAATATTATATGGTGCACAGTTCTCTCTCCTCCTGAAGAGACCAAAACCCAAAGTATGGAGATATTAAATTTTATTTAGAAAATTAAATTAGTTTTACTACTGAAGCCCAGTCAAAACAAAGTTGACTTCCTTTTCTTGTTTCTGAACCTATACAGTTGTACTCATCCTGTATATTGAAGCTAGCCAAAATGCTAGCCAGGCGTGACCTGTTTTGTCAATGTTTAAAGCTGCCATAAACAAACAAACAAACAAACAAAAAAAAAAAAGCCAAAACATCCCTCACAAACATATTTTAATTCAAAGCTTAAGCTTATTTTCTCCCATTACAACTCTATTGTGGAAGAAAGGGGAAAGCACCTGCTGGCCAGGAGGATCAGAACCAACCCAGTCCATTACTTTCACTATACTTGCTCTCTCATTCAGAGATACTTGATCTTCATTAGGTTGCTTATCATGTTATCAATCATCAGTTACCTGGATGTATTTTTCCTTTTAAGAAATATTCATTGTATTATTTTAGCACCTGGGGGGAGGGGACTGGCGAATATCTCACTTTTAAAGCACTGAAAACTTATCGGATATAACAATCAGCTTGCTTACATTAAAAAAAAAGAAAATAAACCAATCCATCAAGAGTACAATAGCTATTGACTTCATTGTAAGAGACAGTCAAAACATTTTGTGCTTTTTCAGGCATAAAGACAAGTTTCATCTGCTTGAAGCTTCACAAGCATTCTTCATTTTTAGTTGTTATGACTGAAATATCCCTGCATCAGTTTATTGCATGTCCTCTATACGTAATGATGAAAAAAAKGCATACATACCTATCATTGTACACTGGCAACTCTGTGGAAAAATAGATTTGAAAAGATCTTTTCCTGCAGGAAGCACACATTCAAGATGATCAGGATTAATGGTGTATTTTTCAAATAACAGGCATCCTTTTATTTCATATCTCAATAATTTCAGAAAGAGTAGCTATTTACTCTGTGTAGCAGTGAAATATCGGATATTACATGTTCACTTTTGCAACATTTTAAAAATTATTTAATTGTAGGATTCTAGGATTTTTACTGTAAAATTGAATGTCAATATTCATACTGTTTGGAAAAGAGGTAGAACTTTTCTCACTGCTTAAGTAAACCAGAAATCTTCCAACCATATGTTTTCTCTAAGTTTATTAAGACAAAGAAACAGGTACAACTGTTTTGGAACCTATTCTTCAAATTATTAATRTTTCATTGTTGAGAGAAGAAAAGTGTTATTCTAAAATTACTTAAAGTTCAAAACCATATGCCTGGATGCTTTTAGATACAGAAAAGTTAAACTGTGATAATTTAAACAAGTGAGAAAAACTGAGTGAATGCAAAAAAAAGAAAAAAAAAAAAAAAAAGAAATCTTTCATACTCCACCTGAGATTTATACTGAGCAAACTGAAGAGTTTACCAAGAGGAAAAGACATGTCTATAGGGTAGGATAAGGGCATTTCTTAGAGAATCGAAGACAGAAAATAACATGGGCTAACRTATGAGATAGATAGGAATAACTGTTGAAAACGAGAAGGCTTAATTTTGTTTTAGTGCTCAGACTGCAAATGGATGTAGAGCAAATGCTGAGTTCTTTCTAACTTCCACAGCAACCCACTCACACTGAAGTTATATGACTCAGAGGCATTTTCTTTAAATGCAGCCATATGGCTTTAAAACTTTTTGGTCAGATGCCCAGATACACAATAATTATTTCTCAGTTTTATTGTCATGGTGGAATCCAAACACTCCAACATTATACTTTTACTCAAATTACTCAAGTTCTTCTTTACTTCCCTTAGATTCATGCAAGTCAAAGTCTAAAAGGCTTTGGCTCTTACTTTAACTAAAACCATCAGTTGAAAGCCCCAGCAAAATTAGGAATATACCTAGTAACTAAAAGATTTCACATTCTCAAAAACCCTGTGTTTGTAGATGTGAACGGAATTATACTGATAAAAACGTTGCTCCTACCTCTTATTTTACTACTTGATTGCAAGAKGTTTCAAGAATTTGCCATTCTTGCTTGAAGGTTTAAGCAGCCAACAGTGGCTACCACTTGTTCTCAGAAATYTGTACTAAACCTCTATCACAGGAGAGTACAACCAGTCTTCTGAGACTTAACAGAAACACGTAACGCATTTCCCAATACACACAAGCTACCCAGCCTGTTTGCAAAGTGATTTATAATTAAGGCAAAACACTGTTGGGAAAGTTACTGCTTTTTCCTTTTCAGTCATACAACTGGGACTAAGCATGTGATTAAATATCCTGTTCAGTCAGGACCACCAGAACCAAAAGTGTCAGAGAATGCAATGCTCAATAGCTACATTCAGACTGAAATTCAGAATACATTTCAAACAGCAAAAAGAGTACTCCACAGTACAAGTGCCTTTACCTTATCTACTTTGAAACAGGCTCTTTCAAGAGATGTTTGTATTTCCTTCAGGATAGGCTGACCATTCACATGCACAGTATTTTCTGCTTTCTAAACCTAAATTTTATTGTACTCRTTGCATTAGTACATACACATACCACATATATCAAGTCTTCAAATGCATTTAAAGTCAAAAACCTTAAGATCAAAACACAAGTCTTCTTAAAACTAACCTTTAGAAAACAAAACCAACTCTTTTGTATACAAACAATTTGTATCATACTAGAAGTATTTCTCTGTACGTCCAGCAATTAGCTGGAAAATGTTAGTGGCTCATCCCCTCTAAAAACACTCTATGGATATAGCTGATCTATAGATCGGCTTCTGCTAGTTGCAGAGGAAGCTTTAGGCTCCAAGCATCTGGKTTTTTTTTTCCACTCAAAACCAGGAAATGGAACAACTCTTAGCCCTTGGTGTCTTTAGGGATGCTCTTCAGATCATGAATACATGAAGTTTCAAGAAGAAAGATGCCATTAAAAACATCCTGTACTTAARATGAAACTAATGAAACATAGTAAGTTGCATTGAATCGTTTAAAATAACAAGAAAGTTAAAAAGAGGATACAAAAAGCATGTTTAGGTTAGCTGTCATATCATTCACTTTCAACTTGGCAATTTCAAGCAGGCTAATGACAAACTGACAGCTGAAGTGTAGAGAAAACAGCTGGATGACTAAACAAACCACCCAGAAAAAGAAAATTTAGCAGTAGGCTTGCCTAAGAGACTCCTTACTCAAAAGGCAAACTTATGCCTTTAGCATATTAAGGGAAAATGGGGAAAAAAAAAAAAAAAAAACCTAAAGACTAAAACTTTTGATATATTGATTCAGTAATGTTAGCCACAATAGTATTTTATATCTCTTGCCCCTTCAAGCATTTTATTAGCATTAACAAATTTTATTTCCCATTATGTCTTATCCACATATACTCAACAATCTACTGCACCTTTAGCACTTTCTAGTGTCCTCTGGCATCCAGTGTGGGCCAGACGCCTCCAGACATGTTTCTCCAGCAAAAGCTCATGATTCTCAGACTGCAGCCCACCTCCAGTACATTACATTTTGCTTTAGCAATTACCAGGTTATTCACCCTCAGAGAAGGGGGAAAGATTAAACTGCAGACCAGCTAACTTCCCAGAAAGCATACTAAGTTCATTCAGAAGAAATAACTATTACAAAGAAAACACAATAAAAACGCACAGGCAATGCCTCGATGCAGGAGACAACATATGAGTGACTTCATCAGATCTTTGTCCATACTTWCCATTCATGTCTATTTTCCTTAGCAAATAAGGGTAACACCGCCAATGAGAAAATCAAATTTCTTCAAATAGAAGATACCCACCCAAGGAACTATACATTTTTGCCTATCGGTGTTCTTGCACAAGTTATGCATAACAATCAGTGAGACAGTGAACACAGCACAAAAATTATTTTAGTAACAGAAGCTTTCCTAAACACTGTGCTCATTGCAAATAGCTCAGCTCAGCATAATGCATAGCACCSCTCTCTGTAACCTATCAAGCCACTCTTTCTCTACGCAAAGAGAGCTTACTCTGCACAACCACAGAGACCTATTCCAAATACAAACACATTTTCAGTCACAGAGCAAAATCAAATAAGAATGTAGAGAYCCTGCAGGGCATTTAGATATCATTTGACAAAGTGCATTGGAGTTTAAGTGACACATTTCAAATCTTGATATTTCTTGTCAGCAGTCCGTGCAAGTTCAATCACAGCTTGTTTTTCTAACTGATGCTATACAATCTTGAACRAATGTAAAAATGCTCAAAGGATTGGGCAAAATTTCCCCTCTTTGGTTTAGTCAGAAAACAGGCCCATATTAAAATGTTTTCTCCTACCTTGTCCTTGTCCACTGGCCAGATGACTCCATACTATCAGAATTACTGCTAATATCCGGTGTGGCCACCCAGTTACTCTGACATCTCCTTGTCTTCCAGCCATTGCATTATTGGATCATCTATAAAGAAATATTATTGCGTTGTTTTAGGTATGACTTAAGATACATGCCTCCATCAGTTGCTTGGTCCTAAACCTTGCAAAAACCCTGTTTTATATACTCAGGAGTCTTTTCATTTATACTCATAATACTCTCTCATTTAAACTCATAATCTCTCATCAAATGTTGCTCCATTTTAATCAGGAAGAATAATCTTAACTGTTATTTCTCACAGCAAAAAATACACAATATAAAAAAAAAAAAAAAAGAAAAAAAAAGTAAAGCCATGAAGTATATCTAGAAGAACACTTGACTTGGAATTTTCTCCCGTCCTAACTGTCCCCACATATGATAGGATGGGAGAGAGTGGATGCTACAAGGCTCTTCTTGTCTGCTCATTCCTTCCTTTTTTTTTTTTTTTTTTTTTTTTAACCTGCACAAGTTTCACTTATTGATTTAATTAGTGGTCTAGCTGCAGGCCCAGATTACTAAGTATTTGCTCATGCGCTTCATGTAGCTGTGCAGAATTGAAGCTAGCTTTTGCTTCACCAGAGATTATGAAAACTACCTGTCTGCACAGAAATATTCCTCAGTGCTCTAAACACCTTGACTTTGCTCATTACGTGTTTTTCTAAACTCACCCTAAACAGTAATCTCAGCCAAACAGTGCCCTCTCTAGACAGTGCCTGAGAGTTTCTCCCTTTCCCTTTAGACATAGGAGGGAAAAGATACTCCCACATTTTTACTATTTGTTTTATCTTGCCTCGTTTCAGTCTATTTTAGAGGGAAGGAAGAGGAAGATGAAAATGGTATTCCCAAAAGTAAAAGTCTAGAACAACTAATTTGAATTTATGCCCTCTGAGATCCATTTTTACTACCAGGTTCCAAACAGTTTTGTAAAAACTGTGTCTTGAATAAAAGGGAGGGTTCAGGAAAAGGATATTAGAGAAATGGAACAACRGACACATTTTTGATTCTCAGTGCAAGCAAACAGATGGTCTTCAATTAGTTATTTACCTACTTTAATACTATTAATTAAAATCTCCAAGATAATTTTCCTTTTCCAATATCTACAGAAAATATGGAGATCCATAAAAATCTGTCACTTATAGCTTAAGCTCTGGTAGTTGTAATATAAATACAACAACTAAAAAAGCATTGAGACCTCCTGTCAACCCCTCAGAGGAAAACATCTAGTTTTCAAGGGAGATTTTTTGCTTGAACAGTCAAAGATACTGAACAGTGGGAGAAAGCTCTTGAGTCAGAAGGAAGAGGAGATGCCAGTGTTCATAGGATTCAAAAGAAAAATAGAAGCTTTGGGTTGGGGTGTAAGAAAAATCACCATTGTGCAGCAGCCACTATTCAGCAATAGTGGTTCGAGGCAGAGGAAGGTGCAAAGATGCACGGGAATGGATCAACCCACCTGCTTGGCAGCAGCACAGGATAGCTACAGGAGCAAGGGAGGGTGTCTAACCCTGACACATATCGTTCCTATCATACTTCTCTTCCATGAGGAAGCTGTAAAGGAAAACAAGTGGAAAATAAAATGCTAGAGATTCTACCAAAGGTCCAAACTAGAGATTCCACCTCTGAAAAAAAAAAATATATATGCATATATTTATAAATATCAGGGACTGCTATTGTACAAGCACAGCACTTACTCAGAACTTAAAATAACCCCCCTTTTGACCCTGAACCACACTTTCTACACAACACATGCAGGAAAACAGGTTTAACTCAAGCAAACACATTTCTTAAGTAAAGAAGAGTGGCTCCGAGAGAAGCTACTCCACATAAAGAATCTTAATTATCTAGTCTGTGACACCGTTTATATTACTTAGTTTTACACCAGCATTGCATCTGCCCTTCTAGGCAGGCTGACAGGTGGCCAATCAAGTAATAGGTACATTGACTTAATAGGGTTCTATTAAGTCACACACACATAACAGGTTAACGTGTTTTAAAAGCAAACAGAAGTTTTCCTCTCTTTTCCTTGCAAAGAGGTAACAAGAAGAAATATTTGAAGTGTATTTTTAAAATACATACTTTTTTTGCCCCTTACTCCTGCTGTTCTTTCACAGTCTATTGAAAAAAAAGCCCAATAAGTATACAAATCACACCTTGCTAGCAACAAAAACCTTGTTAATCACTACCTAGCTCTGTAGAAGAAAACCATTCTATTTATTTTTTCCCCCTTTTTGAAGGGAGAGAAAAAGCATCAGAAAGACTTTTTTATCCACAAGGCTTTTCTCCCCTTTTCTCCCTTTTGCCTTCACTAGAGTAGCAGGAAAACAGCTTTTACTGCCTCACCAGTGAGGACTCAACTAAATTAACAAGGAACTTGAAATAACTTAATGTAGTCACCACCAAGAAGAAAGGCTAACATTTCCCCCATCAGAAAGCATAGAAGAAGAGAGGGGAAAAAAAAAACACTCATTAGTACTACTTATCTCACTTTTTTCCCACCCACCATCTCTCCCCAAATTTATATAGACAACAATACTCATAAAATAAAAATCCACAAGAGCTCTACCTGCCAACTTACCATCTAAGAACAAAAGACAACACCCTCTTCTTTCCCATTTGCGGACCATTAGTTGCAGCTAATTTAGAGGGAGCCAGGTGCATTCAGCTGGCAGGAAATCAGCTGACATAGCGACATTTCTCCTATAAAGGACTGTAACAAAGTTTGAAATTTGCTTSAGACTACACTTTTAATTAAATAGTGTTGGCATAGGCAACTATAAGGCTTTCACTTGTGTTACCAGAGATCTGTTGTAACCTCAGTCACCCGATCCATTAAAATCCAAAGGCTTTGTGGAATTTGATTTAGAGGTGACTGTAACTCACTTATTTTGCTTTCCTCTTGTTACTGCTCAGATCACTTTATATGCTTTTATTTAGTCTGAGTCACTGTGTTTATCAGCCATACAGTTGAGTAGCTTTTACAGCATAATTGATTTATAAATTTGTTTACAATAATACTTTTTAATATATTATCTATGCTAGTATGTTCAATAATGACAAGAAAAAGCGTACTGGCTTTCTGGGAAACCACGTAGAACGTCACCATTGCCTCATGAAAGTGACTGCTGAAGAGGAAGTGGAATTTAGTAGTTCAAACCTGTGTTATAATACATAATACTATGAGGATCATATTACATTTATATAGTACAGCTATCTTTCCCCATACAGCCCCAAAGAAACCTCTGGTATGTTAGAGTAAAAGAGGATGAAAAAACTTCCCATGTAGATGAATACAGACAACCTGTTCTACACATCCAATCCCTTCATGTATTGGAAAAGTATTTCAATAGTATTTTCAGTAAAATACATAAATATTTTATATTCTTCCTTATATGCTTGATGCTGAAATCTATATTTTGCCCTCCTTGAATTTCTTATGCCTTCCTTGGTTTAGCAAACAATCCCAGTCTTATCTCTTCTCCAAAAATTCTTGTATAATTGAAATTTGCAGCTATGCAAAAAGTAAGGCAATAAGAGTGAAGGTATACTTAAAACACAAACAAAATAGCTTTTCTCATCCCTCTGAGGGCCACCTGTGGAGCAAGATACCATCTAATGAGGACCTCACTTTAATATCAGGGTTGTTTGTGTATGAACAACAATGATAAAGTTTGTCCTATTTAAATTCAGAAATAAAAGTCAGAATGGTGTACCAATATCCACATCATATCAATTTTTTTAGTAATGTTATTGATGAGTTAGAGCATTCCTGAACCTCACTTTTAAATGAGCCAAACAGTAGCCCCTCTGGTGTGTGTTCACCAGAGATCATGAATTTGTACATAAGATCTGCAGGAACCTGGATAAAGAAAAGTATGTCATGTATACTCCTCAGTTTGTGGACAACTGTGGCTCAAGAAAGGTTCACCAGCTACGTACCTGCAGGCCTAGGTATGCTGCCTGCGCTGTGCTTACAGGTTGAGTTGGAAGACCACCTCCTTCCCTTCCCACCAACGTGGGCTCAGCCCCAGTGGCACAGCGGGGTATGGAAGGGCTTTCCTCATTTCCTCAAAATAAGGAAATATTTGTTTATGAAAAGTGTCTAAGAATGGAGGCAAATATTATCATTAGAGGTTAAACTGATGAGTCTTCCTAGGCCTCCTCCATCTCCAATGAAGAGAAAGTGGAGCTACTGGAGGGGGATTGGTAGCACCAAAACCATAGTTCTGCTGGAACCCAGATCCTATATCATCCTTTAACCACAGGAAGAGATTAGAGACATTGACCACTAAATGAAGTATAATATAGACCAAGGCACACACTCTTACTCATACCCATGGGAACATGTTCTTTCATCTACTGCCAGAATATAGCTTCTTACCAGGACATATTCTTCTGTATGCTGCAATGACTTCTTCATCAAGTAGCCCTGCCAGAATATTTTGTGGTGGAATTACAAGCTTTCCAAAACATACTTAATAAGAGTGATTGAGAACATCAGTTAGTAATTATTGATTATTCAGTAACATACTAAATCATTAATTCTGTAACTTAAAATTAGTTTCTTTCAGAATCTTTCCAAATTTAAGTAACTATTGATTCTTTTATACTCTCCAATTTAAATATATAGTGAAAAATGTATGCTTTAATATTTTATAGAATTTTTTAAACATCTAATTAATGCTATAAAGAAAAAAAACATGGGTAATGCTAAGATAAATAACTATAACCCTCAGCCATACTGTAACTAGTGATTTAACAGAACCTGAATAAAGGTCAATATGTTTTAACTTAAGCATTTAGCCTTAAGAAAGATCATTTTATTCATACCTTTTTTTTTTGTATGGGAACCTCTCATTTTTTTCTGAAACATGCTGTACCCTCATGGCACTTTCATTAAGACTGAAATGGATTTTTTTCTCAAACATAAAAATTTTCTTTGCAATGTAACTATTGGATTGCTTTTTAAGACTTTTCTTGCAGTAATTCAAATTGTA